GATGTTCTTGATGTCATCCCACAACTCTTCTGGTCTTCAGTCTTTAGTGTTTAATGTATCAAATTTGTTCTTCAGATGATCTTTAAATTCAGGTCATATTTTGGCTCTCGTGGACTTGTTTTCATTTTCTTCATCTTCAGTTTGAATTTGCATATGTGTAATTGATTATCTGTTCCACAGTCTGCCCCTGGCCTTGTTTTGACTGATGAAATGAAACTTTTGCATCGTTCCTAATTAGCATGACCTAATCCTCCCTCATTGACCACAGGCAGAAATTAGTTTACAACACATCACAAACTTGAGGATAATTACATCAGATCACATCATTGGGGATGAATACATCCTTATAGAAGTACCAAGTCACTAAGAATCATGGCCCAGTCAAGTGACACACATTTAGGAAGGACACAACTCAATTCACAACATCCTATAACTGTATACTTCAGGATAATTCAACAGTGTTCCTATCATCTTGTACTTTTCTCTCTATAAGTTTTCTATATATGTAAATTATAGAGTTAATATAAGAAAACCTAATCCTCTTCCATTGCTACCTCCCTGAAATCATGCCAAGACAACCATGGGTCAAATGTTGGGTGTTTCCAAACTTTTGAGTCATGTTTGTTTGTAGGCCTTTTCTTAGTTGACTCCCCCATGTGGCAACTCACACACAATGGAGTTCGTTTTTACTAATTTGTATCTCAAGAGGAATCTTATTTCCAAGCTTTTCTCAAGAGCCTTTAGTTTCAATATGGACAACAAAATTATTGTAGTTTCAAAGGGATAAGGATTATGACACTTGATTAGTAAAGTTTATTATGAATCTTCATTTTGAAAAATATGCTTAATTTAGATAATTTATTTTTAGGATGTTTCCTAGCTGAACATAAGTGAAGTGTTAAAATAGAATGATGGAATTATATTGTTATATTTATTTTCCCTTTTCTAGTTGAACCTTCTGCAAGACCTTCACCCATTACCCAAGATAATTTTGGAATATAGGCAGGTACGTTATTTGTTGTTAGGTGCCATCGAGTTGGTACCGACTCAAAGCGACCTTATGCACAACATAAGATTTGATAACATAACACTGCCCAATCCTGGGCCAACCTCACGATCATTGCCACACTTGAGCCCATTGATGCTGCCACTTTGCCAATCCATCTCACTGAGGGTCTTCCTCTTTTTCTCTGACCCTTCACCCTACCAAACAAGATAGCCTTCTCCAGTGACTAGTCCCTCCTGACAATATGTCTGAAGTATGAGAGACAAAGTTTGGCCATCCTGGCCTCCAAGGAGCAGTCTGGCTGTGCTTCTTCCAACACAGATCTTTTTGTTCTTTTGGCAGCCCATGGCACTTTCAATATTCTCCTCCAACACCATAACTCAAAAGCATCAATTCTTCTCTGGTCTTCCTTATTCACTGTCTAGCTTTTGCATGCATATGAGGTTATTGAAAATACCATGGCTTGGGTC